TGAGTTGGCTATGCCCAGCCAATAACATGGCCACCAAGCCACATCCACCCAGTCAAATGAACACCAAGCCACGCCCACCAACTAAGTCACAGAACCGGTTGTTAAAAAATTTGAATCCAACTCGTCTTCAGCCTCTTGGTGCGGCTGGCTATCCTTCTATATATCTCTACCCGATGGTAGGAGATTGAAGAAGTGCTGACCGGGATGTGAGTTGTCCCTGAGGATTTTCCTCACTCTTCTAAGGCAGCGAGTCCCAGTGAGGTCATCTAGTGGTATCAGCCCACAATGTTTTGTGCTGTGTTCACCACCCTCTGCAATGTCTTTCTATCCGTGGCTGTCAAGCCAGCATACCACATCTTAATGCAATAGGTGAGGATGCTTTCTATTGTGGACCAGTAAAAGGAGGTCATCAGTCATTGTTCCACTTTATTCTTTCGCAAGACCCTGAGGAAATGGAGTCACTGTTGGACCTTTTTGCAGAAGGAATTCATGTTCGGAAAAGGCCAGTCTGAGATCTCAATAATCCCTATATAGGCCTACTCCTGTTTATATTCTGCATGGAGGGTTTTCCAGCCTGGGCCCCAGTATTAGGAAGAGATCTGGGGGCTGGCAGCAAGCTGTCCCTGCAGTTGCTTTGATTTTTATGGCCATCTGCTATCCTCCAAGTTGAACTTCTGCCCTCCAGCCAGCCAGGCTGATGAACAAGAGATTGTGAAGCTTAGCCTGGAAGACGTTCAACTGCCTATCATCAACTGAGAGCCATAGAGCTGATTAAGGATTTTTCCAGAGCAATGTCTCTAAACCTCAGCAACTTTAATAAGAAGTGTGGACTTCAAACTGCCAGAATGCTGGCTGTGGAATTCTAGGTGTTGAAGTCCAAACACCTCTTAAAAGTTGCTGAGGTTAAGAAACACGCATGACATCTCTTTTAAAGATGCAGCGCTGATTTACAGAAGATGTAAATCTTATATGAAGAAAGGTCATTTCTTATTCTGTTGTACTGCTTACTATAGAATGCCTGTTTTTGCAACTGCTAGTCATTTATTTTACACACACAACACACACACACACACACAACTGCATTTTATGGCTTAGCTTGGGTTTCCTAGAAACCACTCCAGGTTATTGGAAATCATTAATCATCTGGAAGGTGTTTCTTGAAGGGAAAAAAAAACAAAGCAATGCCAAATGCTTACATGCTGTTGCTAAGTAAACAATATGCCCAGAACTGTGCTTTGCTTCCAAGGAGCAAAGCACAGTTCATAAGAGGCTTTATGTTTTGTCTCTGGTAACTTAGAGCAGCACCAGACATGGTTAACATGAGAGAAAGCATGTGCTCATCCCTGCAATCTCGGGTACAGATGACTGAATAGCTCTAGTGGAGATCTCACCTCGGTTGCTGAATGAGGATGGCACAGCAGTATCACTGCATTGGCACGTTCTCCGGATCCCCTCCACAAATAAGACAGCACAGTAATATCTTGATATGACAGGGCTTGGTCTAGACTAGGACTCTTCCCATACTTGGCAACTTTAAGACCTCATTGTAGGCTGGAGGAATTCTGGGGGTTGAAATCCACAAGCCTTAAAAGTTGCCAAGTTTAAAAAGCGGGCTTTTTTTAAAAAAAAAGGAAGGAAGGAAGGAAGGAAGGAAGGAAGGAAGGAAGGAAGGAAGGAAGGAAGGAAGGAAGGAAGGAAATTAACTGTGCTTCCTTCCTTCCCAACAGATTGTGAATCTGAGGCTCCGTGTGTCAAAATCAAAGGTTTATTTCGTAGGGCATTATGTATGTCAACTGCATAGTTATGAAAAGGGTGGAGGTTAATGGAAATAATAAAAATGTCGATTTTTCCAACCCTTTGCTCCCCCCCTCCCCTGCTCCATTTATATCTTCCAGAAGACCTTTCTTGGCAAGGCATAGTTTGCAGGTGTTGAAAACATCTAAGGAGCTAGCTCTGCCACCTCGCTTGAATATGCAGCCACGGGGCTGGTTAACACCCTGAATGCCGCTCCCCCGTCTTTTAATTAACTTTTAGTGTCAACTTTAACTATCCTGGCCTCCATTTTAAATTTAAATTTTAAATTCAGTTTTTATGTTTTTAATATTTTATTTGAACACCGTCCAGACTCCTCTGTGAGGCAGATCCGTGCTTTCTAAATTTACTTATTCGTGTCAGAAGCATCATCATTAAAAATTTCATGCATAGATATGGATACAAACATAAGAACATAAACTTTAAAATGTATAAAAGCCTAATTTGGGTGGTGCCTGCCCAGAAGCATGCAACATCAATGGCATTCTGTTGCACTGTCATAAGGCCCTCAAGAGGACATGGGGCAGAAGGCAAGGGTACAAGTGTGTGTTGCTTTGCAGATCTCCACATTCACTGTAGGCAGAAGTCAACAAGTATTCATTCCCCTTTATTCAAGGTATCTCTTGATCTTGCTGTTCCTAAAGATGATAGGTAGGTAGGTAGGTAGGTAGGTAGGTAGGTAGGTAGGTAGGTAGGCTGGCTGGTAGATAGGTAGGTAGGTAGGCAGGCAGGCAAATAGATACCGTAGATAGATCAGATTAGATTAGATTGGATTAATGAATGGATGGATGGACAGACGGACACAGGCAGGCAGGCAGATATGGTAGATATATTAGATAGATAGATAGATAGATAGATAGATAGATAGATAGATAGATAGATAGATAGATAGATAGATAGATAGATAGATATAGATATAGATATAGATATAGATATAGATATAGATATAGATATAGATATAGATATAGATATAGATATAGATTAGATAGAAAGATAGATTAGATAGATAGACAGACAGGCATAGATAGATTAAATAGACAGAGTGGATAGATATAAATAGATTAGATAGAAAGATATAGATAGATAGACAGACAGAAAGGTAGGTAGGTAGGCAGGCAAGCAGGCAAAAATAGTCAGTGTTGGAGAGAAAAATGGTGCCAGAGAAGAATCTTAGAGTCTCTTGGACTGCAAGGAGATCAGATCAGTCAAGCCTAACGGAAATCAACTCTTGAGTCTGTTCTTTGGAAGGACAGACCCTGAAGCTGAAGCTCAGATAATGTGGGCCAAAAGAGGGGGAGGCAATGGCAGAGGATGAAATGGTGAGGTAGCGTCATCGACGCAATGAACATAAATTCGGGGGAAATGTGGGAGACGATGGAGGTACAAGGCATCCTGGCATCCTGTAGTATATAGGGCCCCATGAAGGGTCAGACACGACTTAGCGACTGGAGAGGGGAAAAAACACTAGATAGCTTCACCTGCAGCAAGGAGAGAAGGTCCTCTACCATGGCCCAAGGCTGTGGGCTGCTTTAGCGGAACTGCAAAACCGAGCAGGTCCTCCAGAATCGGCCATCTGAATCAGAGTCAATAAGACATCCCCTGTCCTAACAGATCTCCCTCCGAGGACAAATCCATTGATGAGAAAGATTCCCGCAGTGGTGCGTTTATCACACCTGAATGCCCATTATATCTGAATCTACTTGTGAAAAATCACGAGCGAAGACTGTTGAAATGATCTAGATATGAGGAAACTGGCCTTGCAGGATTTCCCCTCACTGAGGAATCTATCCGCTTTATCCTTATTCTGTATCTATAGTACCTGTACTGATAGTATCTTTCTCATCTTCCCTACCTACCTTCTCCTATTGGTATTTATGATTTATCCCTTGCTGTTGCATCTTACGATTCATGATTGTAACTATGACCTCGCTTTGTGGTTTGTACGCACACTGAAAGCTTGCGCCCCTGTGTGTCCAACCACACTCGGCCATGAAGGAATTAATTCTTTAATTAATGAAGGCATTAATTCCTGAAGGAATTCTCAAGAATGAGAAAGCAGAAGAGTTAAGTATCTGTTTTCAGGAGCTCACCCACTCTCCCTCCCCTCCCTCTAGAGCTACCTATAACTTCCTAGATGAGAACTCGTATAAAAATCAAGAATGAACGTCCAGATGGGAAATGACTCAGAGAAGTTAGGAGGCAGCTCCGTGCCGAAGCCTCTTTTAGTTCAGATGGAAGTCACGTTTTCACTCCCACCAGACTTCCTCCCGTTTCCCACGTCACCGTCCTTCAAGCGAAAGCCTCAAGAAACACAATCCTACGGGAGGCTTGGGTTTGTACGACTTCGCCACCCTGTACCATCAAGCGGGCCGCGCGTGGTTCTTCTGCACGTCCCACGAAGCGAGCTGGGACGCCCTTCGCACTGAGAGGCGGCATTCGCTCGTTTTGCCGCTAAAAGGGACCTTGCGCTTCGTTCTAGCCGCAACTTTGCCGGCCAACTGCAGCCCAGGGGGCATTTCCCTCTCCCGGGGGGTTTGCATCGCTGCCACCCGAACCTTAGCCCCGCTGCGGTTTAAGCCGTCCGGGTCTCCTCTCCTTCCACCACCTCTGGCCGAAAGGAACCGGGACCGCCGAGGCTAAAAAACCCGGGAGCCGCCGGCGCCGAAGCTGGCCCAGCTCGCACCGTGGGAAAAAGACCGTGGATGGTGGCCGCCCGCCGAGCCACGTAGGGGCGAGAGACTGTTCCTGCGGGGGATTCCCACGCGCCGCCCTCGGCCGCACCCCCTGTCTGAAGGACGCGCGGAGGACGGGCGGCCCGAGCCGGCGAGCGAGCGAGGGAGGCGGGAGCGGGAAGGGGAGGCGAGGCCGACCCGCGGCCCGGCGCATCTCGAGCTGACTGCAGGGCTCCGCGACGTCAGTAGCCGCAGAGGCACAAGCAGCGGCGGCGCACCGGCAGTTGCAGCACCGCCGCCGCGGAAGAAGAGCGGCGGCAGCGGCGGCTCCTGGTCAGCGCTCGGCTCCCCCCGGGGACCCTGGCGGCGGCGCGGGGACCCTGGTCCGAGCGGCTGGCGGCCGCGGGAGAGGCGCCAAGCCCGGCTATGCGCAGCCAAGAAGAGCCGGTAGGCGCCGCGGAGTGACCCCCCCTCCCCACGCCACCCACCGAGGAGAAGCCGGTCTGGCGCGGCAGGATGGAGAAGGCCGGCTCCTTGCACGCCTCGGTGCCCACGCCGCCGCCGCGCCTCTACCTCCCGCGGAACTTCAGCTGCAGCGCCTGCCTCTACGGCAGCCTGGCCGAGCAATGCAAGGGCGGCTGCAGCCCCGAGATCGAGGCGGTGGAGCCGCTGCCCGCGCCCCCCTCGCCGCCCGTCACCCGCGAAGCCGAGGCCGCCCGGTCGCCGCCGCCGCCGCCGCCGCCGCCGCCCCGCTCCCCTTCGCCGCCTCTCTCGTCGCCGCCGCCGGCCAGCCGCGGTAGAGAGCCCACGCTCCCGTCCGTGCCGCCCAGCCCGACCCTGCGCCGCCGCGCCAAGTCCCTGCCCACGCCGGGCGAACGGGGGCTCCGGCCGGCTTTGCAGCAGAGCCCGTCGCGGCGCAAGACGGTGCGCTTCGCCGACTCGCTGGGGCTGGAGCTGACCGCCGTGCGCCACTTCTGCCAAGCCGACGTGCCGCAGGTCCCGCCGCCGCCCGCGCCGCTGCCCGCCTCGCCTCTCCCGCGCGGCGCGGACCTGCTGAAGACGCGCAAGCCGCCGGCGCTGGGCGAGCTGGAGCCGGTGCTCTTCGGGCCTCCGGCGCCCGTGCTAGAGCCGCTTTTCCCGCCGCAGCCCGGCGCGGGGGCGCGCTTCGCGGAGCGCGTGCGGCAGCACAAAGTCAAGCTGGAGTGGGTGCGCCCCGAGGCGGCCGGGCTGCGCGGCGCCGTGCGCGTCCTCAACTTGGCTTACGAGAAGACCGTCTCGGTGCGCTACACGCTCAACCGCTGGGCCAGCTGCAACGAGGTGCCCGCCGCTTACCTGCCGCCGCCCGCCGCCGCCCACGACGGCCAGACGGACCGCTTCGCCTTCCACCTGCCCGTGGGCGCCGGCACCACGCTGCTCGAGTTCGCCGTGCGCTACCGCGTGGCCGACACCGAGTACTGGGACAACAACGACGGGCACAACTACAAACTGCGAGGCAGGCAGCGACCCGACGGCCAGGAACCCGACGGCGGCGGCGCCTGGATCCACTTCATCTGAACCGAGCTTGGCTCGGGTTTCTCCGGGACTCCCCGGCCGGGGAAGCGGGCGCCTTCCTTCCTTCCTTCCTTCCTTCCTTCCACGGAGAAAGGGCAGGAGCGCTCCTTGGAGATGGGACGGGGAGCAGGATCGAGGGGCGCGGAAGCGTGACAGACCCCCCCCCCCACACACACACAATTTTAATTTAAGTGCTAAAGTTGAAAATCGCCCTTCGGGTGGCAACTGTGCAGAAGAATCGTTCACCGGAGGGGTTTGAAGTGGGCAGCCCCCTATGTCCCCTGGTCTGGGCTTGGAAACTTAAGCTGTGCTGGGTCTGGTTAGAGCTTGAATGGGAGGCCACTGAGAAATCCCCCCAACTAGGCTAGAGGAGTAAATTGGTACATCAAGGCAATTCAACTCATTGAGTCAAGCTTGATTCCCAGTAGATGATGTCTTTACTTCCCTTTTGGGGGTGCATTTTTTTCCCAAGAGGTCAGGAAGGGCTGGGCAATTGTTTCCTTTGACTTGCCGCATTTAATTAACCAGCCAGAGACCTCTTCCTTTTGCCAGCTCCTTGACTTGCCATTCCAGAGTAAATCCAATTAAACGCCTGACTTCTTGAAACGCCTAATCGGTACTATTTAGAATTGCGGGAGCCAAAAACAGTTGCCTGCTGTCTCTTTGGAAGAAAATAAAACCCCTCCATCATGGAAACAGTTAGAATGAAGGCAAGCCTTCCTTCCTCCTGTCACACAGGCCACTTTTCTAGGGTGGGGGGATTTCAAGAGAGGAGGGGGGCCTCTGCTGCATGAGCCTTTTTCTGCATTTGAGATGGTCCAGGGGGTCTCCAACCTTGGCAACCTTTAAGACTTATGGACTTCAACTCCCAGAATCCCCCAGCCTTCAAAAGAGTCTTAAAGTTGCCAAGTTTGGAGAGTTCTAGGCTAGACTAAGCCCTGTCATATCAAGCTTTGCCGGCTGAGGAATTCTGGGAGTTGAAGTCCAGAAGTCTTAAAGTTGCCAAGGTCGGAGACCCCTGGCCCAGGTGATTTGAAATGCAAGTTTCTGGTGAAAGTTATTACCCCATTGGTTTATCCTTAAAAGAAATAATCTTCTAAATAAAAAATCAGGAACAACCATATCTGGGGTTGGGAAGAGAGTCATAGAGTGCCTCCCTCAGATTGGCTGGATGCTGGTGAGGTCACAACCCATTTTCACTTCCTCCCTAAAAACAGCCTTTTCAGTGTCCGGTCAAATCTACTGTACCTTTCCCCCCACCTCAAAAAAAAAGGGGGGGGGAAACAAATGAAAGTTTGTTCAGTTGGACCATGCTGAGGCAACACATTCTTTTCCTCAGAGCTGTTGGATTTCACATAATTCAAGGACATCCGAGTGTCCTTGGAGAATCGAAAGTCTGGCACTTCTGAAGAACACCAGAATGAGGAAGATGGATGGGACAGAATTTTTATTTTTATTTTATTTTTTAATGCAGCCAGCAATGGAAAGAAGAAGGAAAACAAAATCGGGAGCCCTAGATCGGAACTGCTTTGGAAAGCATCCCAAAGGTTGAAGAAAATGGCCAAAAAAGATGTCCTGTTCTGCATGCCTGCCTGCTCTTTCTTGCAACATTTGTCTAAACGTGTAGATGATCTCAACTAACCATTCCAAAGCTGTGTGGGAGCAGTCTTGTCCGTGTCTGGTTGTGCTCTCGGTTGACAGATCTCGGCCTTGTACTTCTGTTCCATCCAAGGCTCTGCACCTTCGTGCCTGAAAGGTTATCAATGAGATTTTTCAACATCTGGGAACCTCTGACTTTATTCAAATTCCCACAGCCTTCTCTCTCTTTCCCTCTCTCCCTCTCCCCCCCCCTCAATCTCTCAAGCTGCTCTGGACCATAAGACCTTGTCTAGTGTTTTCACGGGTATCTTTTTCTCTGCCAATTCTTCCCTTGCTGTCACTTAGTTGTGAGATGCTCCCGATTTATATTTATGTCACCAGAGGATTATTTTCAAAAAAGTGTGTATTTCCAAGTTAAATACAGATGGTCTATATTTTATATTTTGAGAGTTATAATTGGGGGAGGGGAGGGCGGGGGAAAGAGGAGCTGCTTCTTCAAAGAGGAACAGCACGCAACTATTCAGAAACATGTGTTGTAATGACTGGCAAGTATTACCATTCTGGTATCGTTTCTTATGATACCCGTTTCCTCTTTTCTTTTTTTTTCCTCCCTTCCTTGATTCGTACAAAACCTGAAGATCTTAGGCCAACCTGTAAGGGAGTGAAAATGAGTTAATACTGCTGTTGAGGAGCAGAACTTGGGAAATCCAACTTCGGTTCCTGAGCATTTCTAAGCATAACAGTCAAATTTTGGGTCATCAGTACATTTTTGGGGGGTTTTAAGAAGTCAAAAAATTACAGCTAAGAAGTTGGGTTGCCAAGCAACTGGAAGTAAGGTAGTTCTGGCTGATAAAACCTCTGTATTGGAGAAAATGTGGAATATCAGAGGAGATGAATATCAGAGGAGATTAAAATCGGAGGACAATACCAGAATGTCAGCCCTTTGAGGTAGACCAGGTCAAGAAATAGATACTGTAGACATACCAGAAATTAACCTTATTTGTTGTAGGGCAGAATAACACAACCTTGAAAGCCTAACTTATTGTTTATTCGCCCTGTCTTATACTGAAGAAAATCAAGGAAGAATTGCTGTGAGTCTCTTTCTTACCCTTTCTTCTTTCCTGGGACAGAGCCCTCTTTTCTGAAACTCCCACCTTAATGGGTCGCTCATTCCGAAGCCCAGTTTTACAATCCTTCACCCAGAGCTAAATCTGCTTTGCTGGCTGTCCCCATATCACATTCCGTGGATGTTTGTTCCAAATTAAATGCTCTTGCAAAACAAGTGTGGAGACATCAGGGTGCATAGGATTGTAGCCTTTGGTTTCATGACCAACCCTGTTTCAGACCGAAGATAAGAAAGACTTTTCTTCTCACTGGGTATGTTCAGGTGTGGGCTGACAGCCATCTATCAGGGATGCTTGAATTGGGATACTGGGACTACAGTAGCAGGATTCGAGGCCTTTGTGGCACCTTCCTGCTGTAGGAATCTGTTTTGTTTTATATTTGGTCATGTAGTTGGACACATGGCTCAGTCAGAAGGGCAAGACAGTCTATATTAGCCACGTATTTGTCCATGACCCCAGGCTGTTCCTGGAGAAAATATACATTAGCCATAATAACCGATAAGTCTGTGCAAAGTGTTTGGAGGGGCATTCAGCCATCCAAACCTGCTGCTCAGAGCATTAAGGTGACCACATCCTTCAAAAGCTCTGCCAGTTGACGTCTCACCTTGAATTTCTGAGCACACACCTACGCCGCTGAGACCTTTAGTGGCCATGTCGGTGCAAGCATCTTCAACAACAGAAAGGGATGCTTTGGTGGCCCTGAAACACCACCCCCGACACACTCCCTCAAATACAATGCACGGGCCATTGACTAGTAGTCACTGATAGCCTTATTCACCTTGCATTTTTAATCTTTTTAAACTGAATGAATCAAGTTCTAGCATTGGAAACGTGGGAAGGAGGACTTCCTTTTTCTTATTTGCTGTCTCTTAAGCATACTTTCAGGGGGGGAGGGTTGGACCTGAATAGCTGAAGAAGCTGCGCTGCGCGGGATCTAATGGCTCACTTAGATTTTCGATGCTGGGACCTAAGGAACTGAATAATTGAAATAATTCTTTTTTGCAGCCTTTCCTCCAGGACGTAGGAAGTCTGTTGAGGCTTACGTTTTTCACTCTGCGAATACATTGCTGTGTCTTCAGCAATATGCACATTTGCATTCTTTGTGGGCATTCTGGGTTGTTGTTGTTGGTTTTTTTTTTGCAAATGCGCCTGCATAATTTGACTGCTGTTATTTATTACGACTGCAGCACCTGTGCCCAGTAAAACACCATTTAATTATGTGGGAAAGGTGTGCAGCACATAAATCACAACTTCAGAGAAATATGGGCGTTTTGATGTTAGAGGGGAAAATGGAATTAGAATTTCTAATTGGTTTCCTATTGGATGCCAAGCAGATTTTTATTTATTTATTTTAAATTCTTGATGGTAGAGGAACCCTGGGAAAGAAGGCTAAATTTTGCTCTCTCTTTTAAATAGAAGCTTAGTGAAGATATAACGCAGATTGTTTATCTTAACAAAGTCTTGTGTCATCAGGAGATGATTAAACTGAATCGCAAAGGCTTAAGTACCCTTTTCATCTTGTGAATTATAAACCAAAATGAAGAAGGAAAAACCCTATCCTAAAAATGTTATTTAAGTACATTTCCAAATGTTGGAGAAATCCTAGCCAAGTTGTCTGGGTTCTTCAGTGGATCTCTGTTTCACTGGCTAAATGCTTCCCTTTTAGAAACCCCTTCTCCAATGAAAAGCCAAAGAGATAGAGCACGAAGCATCAACGCCCTTATTTTGAATTGTTGGTGGTGCCCAAGACCCCCCTTCAACCAAACTGGCTTAGAGAAAGCCTCCAGTGAAATGTATCCAAGGTCCTTTTTTGTTTTTGATAAAAAAAAATCCAGTATTTTTTTGCGGCGGCTTATGGCTTAATACAAAAAAAGAGCAGCGTAGTTTAGCACAGTTTCTGATAGCTGCCAACCGATCTGCAATTTATATTTTTCGCCATTTAGGCTGCCATCCTCTAGCCGTTCCTTTGTGGCATTATCACAAACTGGCAAACCAGACTGCATGACTGGTCGAACATAACTAAGGCCAGCCTTAAAGGAAGGCTTCCCCATTTGAGCAGCAAGTTTTGTTCCTGTGTAATAGTTGCATGGACGGTTTTGCAACTTTGATTTAGCCGTAAGCTATTTTGACTCCTGCCCGTTCCATTTGAGACCAATGTATATTTAGATAGGGAAGGTGTTTATTTTTCTATAACAGTGTTTTAGTAATGACCAGCTATCAGTGCTGAAAGACAATATATATATATATAGGTACAGGTATGTACCTATCTTTATGTATCTT